CTGATTTTGGGAAAATCTAAATTAATTTCAGCTAATTTTTACTTTATTTATAAATTAATAAGGTCTGATATTTAGTTCTATCAATTAGGTGAAACATAATAAAATTCTGTAACCATGTACCAACCCTATTGATTAACTATGACAATTTCACCACCCAGTAACTTTGATAAGAAATTAAAAAGCTTTCCAGATGGTGTTTAATAAGCTGAGAAAGAATAAAGTAAGGAGAGTGGCCTCAATAATATGATCATGTTTTGAACTTGTTGGTACACATGAAGAAAAAACAGTGTAGGCTAGATATTTCTAGGCTACAAAGTCGCAGCAAATTTGACCCTAGCCCATTTAGCCTTCACTGAGGCCCCATCACTGTAAAGACACTGGGAAATACTAGTGACATCAAGATCGGTCAGTCTCCTCCTGAATTTTGAAAGAGCCCCAGCTTTGTGTCGCTGCAAAGAGGGGATTGCCAGCACTACTGCAGCTCACAATCTCGACAAGTCAGAAATAAAGAGATTGTCTAATAGAGATGGGAGGACACAGAAATGATTTCCATTTCTACAGCACTTAAACCACCTCGTTTCACCTATAAGCCATTAAGAAACCTTGTCAAGCTGGGTGTTGGTGGCAGGAGGCAGAGACAGGCGGGTCTCTGTGAGTTTGAGGCCAACCTGGTCTACAGAGCAAGTTCCAGAACAGGCTCCAAAGCAATACAGAGAAACTCTGTCTCGAAAAACCAAAAAAGAAAAGAAGGAAGGAAGGAAGGAAGGAAGGAAGGAAGGAAGGAAGGAAGGAAGGAAGGAAGGAAGGAAGGAAGGCAGGCAGGAAGGAAGGAGAAAGGGAGAGAGAGAGAGAGAGAGAGAGAGAGAGAGAGAGAGAGAGAGAGAGAGAGAGAGAGAGAGAGAGAGAGAGAGAGAGAGAGAGAGGAGAGAGAGAAGCCTTGTCAAGCATGGGCAACGGAAGCCTTGAAGAGAAGCTAAGGAAACATATAGACTAAAACCAGGCTAGACCTTTAGACGCCTCTTAACCGGAATTCATAGCTCCTGATACAGACCAGAACTATGGTAGGGCAAGGAAGTACCTAGGACTCAGCAGTAGAAGCACCTGTGATCATAACAAAGTGCCCCTGCTCCCAGAACTTCTGCCCCTGGAGTCTCACACACTATCCTCTCTTGTAACTTTTCCAATGGTTATATGCAAAGATACTCAAATGGTCAAAGCACTGCCAGTGGTAAGCAAAACAATGTGTGCTCTAAGGAGACAAAATATGGATAACAATCACAGGAATGTAAAAGAGAGGCTGCCTTCCAATTACAGAAAAAGTGTACAATGAAAACACATAAAGTTACCTCTCCTATGAACTAATTATACAATAATTACTTGGGACTTGAACATATTTTTATTGAAAATTTTGCTTTACCAGGGATTAAATCCATCCCTAAATCAAATGTAATAAAAACCTCATAAAATAGCAAACCTTGAATGTGTATGAAAACTTGCCCCTCTCTCAATCCTTTCACCAAATATTATACAAAAGGCTCCAATATACTAATGAATTTTATTTTTCATGGATGATTCTTAAGACAACTATATAATAGCTAAATGATTCTAATTGTAGGACTTGCTGTAGTTATCACTTCCTACATTGTCAAATTACAATTGACTAAAGAGTAGCTTCACTGTTGGAATCAGAATGTAGTCTTACAAAAAGAAACCCTTCAAGGGACTTTGTCACATCCAGATTGCTAGAAAGGATGCTCATCAGATATTAGGTGCCTGGCTTAAGAGAACACATGTCCCCATTTCTAAATATGCGTAGATTGGACATTTTCCTATTTGCAGTGAACTTAGCCTCTACAATTGATTACCTTTGAGTTCCAAATTGATTTATAAGCACAAGGAAAACTATTTAGTCTTGATGTCTTTAAGAACTGTGAACTCAGAATTCTTAAACCTTTAAGTTTATTGAAATCAGAGACTATTCATTAATTACCACCTGATTTTGCCTATTCCACTTCCTATATTCTTCTATGGTATGATGCATATTCTATATATTATTCTATGCTATATGTATTCTTCTATGTTGTATATTCTATATAATGTGCTGATCTATCTAATAGTGAATAACTGGATAAATTGATAGATAAAACTGAACACTTTGGTATAAATTTTAATAATGTATTATTTATAATAAAAATTCACCATTTTGGTCTTCAAGTCATATTTGCTATCAGAAACATCTTTTTAGAGATTTTTAGTATTAAAACAAAAGTAAAATAACCGTAAGTGTGTAAGAGTTCTTATCAGGTATCATGTCATTGAAATAATTTGTAGTTGATGGAAAACACGAAGACACCAGCTAACCCTACACTAATTCCTCCTACTAAAATGAAGGGAACATAATTTTTAAGTATCCATCTTTCATTTTAAAGTGTCTTACAAGCTTCAGTATTGCGTGGTGATCATGCATTCCCTTTCTACGCTTCCTATGATAAAATCTAAGTCTAGAGAATAAGTGAATTACCAAGGTCAAAGTAATAGGAAATGTATAACCAAGGCTAGAATCCATATTTTATTTTATTTCCCAGTCTCAGTATCTTCTACAATATTGTTACAACTGGCTGAGTATAATAATGCGCACTGGGCATTTTCAATACTAATAGAAAAAAGATTATGGTCTCTAAAACTTTCATATGTTATGGTTGTTGACCATTTATACCCTTGATACCAACTTCTTTTAAAACAAGAAACACCTTGAAGCTCTTTCTTCTTCCCTATGACTGAAATGCAGTTGTGTTCGGTGGCAACACATACTCTGTAAATATTAACCATGTTTAAATATACAAGGAAGGGTCACAGAAAATTACAAGTGTCCTCCCTTTACACCACAAGGAGAAAAACCAATGACCTCCACTGATATTGGGAAAGCAACCTGCTTTCTGATCGGAGTGTCTTTCACAACCCATTTACTGTCTGTAACTAGCTGTCTTGTCACTAACCTTTAAAAACTACTTCCATGCCCTTCGCTGACAATTATGGAAATAGTTTCTAATGAGTTTAACTATCTTTAAAATATTGTGCCATCTCAAAAGAATAAATTTGGTTATGTGTTTCTTAGAGAACCGGGTTACTTAAAAGAGGGGAAAAATACAGAGAGGACTTTAAAAATAAGTGAATAATAACGCACCCCCCCTTGAACTTGTTGGGATTTTAATTCACTAATGTTAAGCTTAAGGACATCCATTTTTCATGCCTGGCATTCCTCCAAAATTCTGGTCCGTATGACTACATGTGAGTAATGGCTTGAAAACTTGAAATGATGGCTTATTCTTCCTGAAAATTTGTCATTCTTATCTATGAACCTTGGGAGACCCTTGAAACATCTACCACCATGAGCTAGAACTGCTTTCCCAGGGGTCTGTCCACATAATTCGCTGGTGTTGTTGCTGTATGGAGTGCTTGTTGAGTCTGGGGAGCTGGTTTCTCTAATAACTGACTGTTGCACCTACCATTGTAACGAGTTACTTCATTGCCCTATTTCTGGTGTCTAACAGTGACACTCTCATCATTTCCCACCCACTTCTGCGAGAGGGAAAAGTGTTCCAAGTGACCCAATATTAAAATTTACAAAGCACTTAAACTGTAGATGACACTGTTGTCATTAGAGTTTCTTCTCTTCGAGGTGACATGTGACTGTCTTTAAGATACTGGTAACAATTAACTAAAACCAAATCATCACTCTCAGTTTATATCTAGTTACTGTGGCTTTGCTGGTGGTTTAGAGTATCCATTATCCTGTCTGACTTCCATATTGTAATCTTAATGAATCCAAAATGGTAGTTTCTTAGGATTTGTTAGAATCTTCTCAGGGTAGCAGGCTCAAGTTATTAACACACCATTGTATGAATACAGGTCTCTCTCTCTCTCTCTCTCTCTCTCTCTCTCTCTCTCTCTCTCTCTCTCTCTCTCTCTCTCTCTGTCTCTCTTCCTCTCTTCTTATCTTCCCATGTCTCCCCCTCTTTTCATGTTATATCTTTTTCTGCCCAACTCCTCTCCCTGGAAACTGTAAGAACCTATGGAAATCACTTGTCCCTGGAATCCTGACCAAAGCAACACAAACAAGAGACTCTAAGGAGATCCAGGACAATTTTTAAATAAGTCTACTGTGCATACAAAGTGCAAGCAGAATACTCCATGACATTCTGATCTGTTTTGACACAACGTTTAAAGAGGAAAATTTTCTACTTCTTTTTATACAGGTCTTTACACTGAAAAAGCACTATGTTGAAGTTACTGTGATATGTTAAAGTTTGTATTCAGTAAAGAAGCTCCTTGTTGGCCACATTCCCAGGGTATAATTCAGACTTCGTGGGGGTTTCTAAGGGGATTTCAAAATCAGAGGTGGAAAGTTTGAGAGAAGCTATTTCCTGTGTCCCTCTGGACTTGCCCGTCAGCTACAGATATACCTTCACAGATAGATTATCAGTTGCTATTTGCCTCAAAATCTGATTCTGCAAAAGTGAACATCATAAATTCTTCCTCTGATAAGAAAGTCAAGAGAGAACATGGAAATGCTGTGTTTCTCTCTGTACAGTGACTTCTAAAATTAAAAATTCATAGATATTTTCCTTCTATGTTTTTAATCTTATATTTCAAAAGAGAAACCATTCTGGTGGGTTATTATATAGCAAAAGCTTAACATACTGTGTGTGGGGTACAGTTGTGTACATAGAAGTTGCACAAAACAAACTATGATAACTTTTTCTACAGCATACTTATATTTTATATGCTCATAGGAACTGGAGTCTTTCTATATTTGGTGAAGATCACTGTAATTGTACTCAGAGAAGAAAAAAATAATGCTATATCAATAGATTCTAGGGTATAGCAATTGTTAGTAAACAACACTTTGGAACTTTATTTGAAGCTGTATTTGCTTTGACAGCACTCGGCTGGTGTCCCTGCTAAACTGTGTGGTCAGAAACAAGACACAGGGACATTACCTTCACAGACAGGAGCCTGATGCCAGGTCTGGAAAAGTCCCATTGCCTCCTTGCAGTCCCATTGGCAAAACCAAAGCCACTCTTCAGCGTCTTCACCACTTTGCAAGCTGTCAAAATCCTCGTCATTTTGAAGAAGTTTTGTGACTAAAATTAAATCACAAATATTTCATGAGATTTTGATATCCAATTTGTTTTTAATTAATGTGATAGAAAGCTGTGTGGACACCATGCAGTTGAGGCCAAAGGCTGACTGCACAGCAATCTCAGACTTCCCATTCATTCTGCCATTAAATGTGCTATCCACAGCTCCTCCTCCTCTTAGCCCCTCCCCACAAGCTGATGTCCAGAGTTGTTCTAATGGACATGGCACACAAATTGCAAAACAACGAATGCAACCTTATTCTGTGAAAATAATGCTAATGCTGCAGCAAGTCAGCCAGTCATCAAAGGAGTTGCTTATGCAGCTGAATAAGATGACCTAGGCATGGTAAACAGCCTTAGGAGTGAATACCCCTAACTCAAAGGGCAGTAACTTTCTGATAATGCAAAAGATCAAACAGGTTTCTGTGTTGCAAATGACGTAGAATTTGCCTCATAAAATATTTGGATTTCTAGGAAACCCAACCCTGGATATTTTCTGCTTGGAAAAAGATGATGAACAACGCATACAGTAAAGAGATCATCAAAATGAACTTTCCCCACAAATATATAAGAAATCCATGTGATTTATTTGTGAAGAGGAGCACTGATGAAGTAGCATGTCATGTTCCTATTACAACATTGTTTTGCCTTCCAGGTTTTAAAGCTATGGATAACACTAATCAGAACACAGCTGGAGCACAGTAACATACAGTATTGCTCTAAATCTCTTAAGCTTGTAAAATGTGAATGGAACAATGTAAAACAATTTAATATAAACAATAACCTTAATTATCCAGTAATTAAAATGACACCTTAAGATAATCCAAAATGAGCATTCATGTTTTGACCTAAATAAAATTACTCAATCAGTTGTTTAGCCATAGGGAAAAGCAGGTATTGAAAGGGTCACATTGGCTGGCAGGGTATCTACTTAAGCCAGGGTCTATAACCAGGAGACAGCTCCACAGCATCTTCAGATAGATTTGAATGAAGGCCAAGGAATGAAAACCCTGAAGACCTATTCATTAGGATTTCCATAATGAAAGCGATACATAAAGATATGGTAATTTCACTGACATGGTGTCAATGCTGTGATGGGGAATGTAAGCCTATAAATAATAATTGTCAAGACAATTTAAACTAAATCCTCTGTCTTGATGAATCAATATATAAACATTCTCTGGGTTCAAACAATTTGGAAAAAATTGTTAAATATTCTAAACTCGAGGTGGAAAATTCATAGACTTTAAAACTCACACCCAAACTGCTAACCATCATGGCATGGAGGAGGGAACTTACATTTGTCAAGTCAAAGGGGTGGGGCTTAGGAGGTGATGGGTAGGGAATCAGGAACATCAGACAAAGGGGTGGGGCTTAGGAGGTGATGGATAGGGAATCAGGAAAGTCAGGCAATGTAAAAGAAATGGGACACTTTCATGGGAGACTTTCTTCATATTTCATTTCTTTTTCTTTTTACTGCATTCTTATGAAGCTTTCCTCACATAAGGTGCCTACATTCATCTGAGAGCGATGATGGGAATTGTCTTGGAAAATGTACTCCTCAGGAGTGTGGGCCCTCTAAGCTTATATAAGTTATTTGTCTGGAAAAGCAAAATTGTTTTACATGAACTTGCCCTCTTTTATTCATGTACTTACCATAGCTGCCACTGTTTACAGCTTTGTTATTTTCTTCTATATACTCCCATACAGAAAATACAGAAAAATAAAATCAAAGTACTTCTCACATTTGAAAGAGTTGAAAGCATTCTAGTACGTTAATGCTTTAAAAGCTTTATTCCTTACCACAAATAGTTGAAAGTAACTGTCTTGATGTTCTCTCTCTCTCTCTCTTTCTCTTTCTCTCTCTCTCTCTCTCTCTCTCTCTCTCTCTCTCTCTCCCTCCCTCCCTCCCTCCCTCCCTCCCTCCCTCCCTATCTCTCTCTCTCTCTCTCTATCTCTCTCTCTCTCTCTGGCTGGGAAGATGGTTCAATGGATAAAGTGTTTGCTGTGCACACATGAGTACCTAAGTTCAGATCCCCAGAACCCATATAAAGCCAGATAGGACAGCCTGCATCTACAATCCTAATGCTCCAATGGTGAGAAAAGAAGCAGGGCTGTGAGAATGCCAGGAAGCTCATGGGTCTGCTAGCTCAGCAGACATGGTGAAAGCAGCAGGAAAGCCTGCCTCAAACTATGTGGAAGGTAAAGACCAACAGACAAGGGTGACTTCTGACCACTTTTTGTGTGCTGTAGTGCACAGGAACACACACACACATGCACACACACACACACACACGCAAATAAATAAGAGTATATGTACACAGTATGCATATGTGTGCATATGACCACTGAATAATAAACTTGTCATCCCTTTAAAAAATAGAGGCATTCAGTCTTCCAAAGTATTTAATTTTAGAAATTTGTAATTGAGATATCCATTATTGAAATAGTATCACATTGATTACTATGATTAATTTATTTTCATTTTTATATTTAAAGAAATTTGAAAAATAAATGTTTCAATCCAAATATAATCTCAACCAACAGTTTTGTATGTTTTCTTCTAATATCTATGTCTATGTTAATTTCATAGCTATGAAGACTTCAGGGAACTTGCATAGTGCTTTGTGCAGTAAAATCATATCAAAAATATACTTACTATTATTATAAAATTACCTGGAATTGACATGTAAAGCAACCTTGTTTTTAATTTAAATTTAAAAATAAAAAATAAAATAAAAGGAATGGAAAAAAGTCTTAACTTGAAAAGGATGCAATGGTTCCACTTTCATTTTTCCTATTGCTATTTCATTGCATATCAGTATTCCATTTTGATCAATGGTGTTAAGAATCATTCCAAAAGAAATGTGTTCATTTACCTACTGATTACAACTTAAGTGCCTCTTTCAATGTATACAGCTATTACATCTGGCTGCTATCTTCTTTATCTTTCCTGTAATGCAGTACATAGCATTTGGTTTCACTTAACATTAAGGTTCCTACTGAGACTGAACACTTCTGGTCACATCATCTTTGTTCCCATTAATCCATCCATGGTAATCTTTTCAAAATGAGGACACAGAAAAAAACACTGGCTGCCACTGCAGAGGCACTGATTGTGTCTTTTTTTTCATTTGTCAAAAGAAGAGGCCTCCTATGTATTGGAAAAGTGACCAACTCATTGTGGAAAATAAAGACCAAAGGTGTTCGAAGAAGAGGCAGACTCCCTTGGTTAAGTACTGAGCTGAACTCAAGAAAGCCAGTCACAGAGAGGGAGGACTGATGATCAAAGGGATTAAGACTAGGCTGGTTTAACCCCCAGAAACAGCTGACCAGACAAAGGTTAACTCTTGAATCCCAGGCATCAGCCTGGGAATCCAGAATGGGACTGATCAAGACCCCCTGAATCTGGGTGTCAGTGAGGAGGCCTAGGTAATCTATTGAGCCTTGGGCAGCAGATCAGTACCCATCCCAAGTATACACACGGACTTTGGACTCCCATAGAACAATGTGAGGTGCACTCTCACCCTGAACTCTTGGGGAAGGGTCTAGGCCCTGCCCTATATGAAATGACAGACTATGGACACCCCCATGGAGGGCCTTACCCTCCCTGGGGGAATGAGGGGATAACGGGGGGGTTGGGGGGGCACGGGAGGAGGGGAGGGAAAGGGAGAGGGACCTGGAACTGACTTGTGAAGCAACCTTGTTTCTTGTCTAAATTTAAACTGGAAAATAAAATAAAAAATAAAAAAGAATAAATAGTAGCATTAGCAATTCCTCTTCAAGTGTACAGAAACTACCAAGTGCCAGTTCTTGAAGCATAACATGCCAGCCAATGAATCAGAAACAATTCTAAGAAATGGAGCCTTTGTCAAAAAGCCATCTACATGGCAATCATGCAACAGAAGCTTTGGAAAAATAGATGGATGAATGAATGAATGAATGAATGAACTTATATGTATGCGCTGCTAGCTGAAATGTGACGATTATTAAAGCAGCAGCAAACAGAATTCTATGTCAATAAACCCAGGAGGAAATAAAGATGCCTAGGAATCTGAAAAAAATGAGTATTGGTTTTACAAAAATCTCTTTAGAAAAGAAAAAAAATCAAGTTAGAAGCCAGCATGACTGGAAGGCAAAAAATTCAAAATAAAGGAAATGCAAAAGCTCCCTGAAGAAAGCTCTACTCTTGTGCATAAGTGGGAATGCATGAAAATGAAAGATAAAAAGGAGAGTGGTCAAGTTCAAGTCTGTGGTTTTATTAGCCAAAGAACATAATAGGAACACTGTCACAGTAAAGATATAGACAAGGAAGGCTATGCCTTGAAGGAAAGGATGAGGATGACACCCACATAAAAGGCACAGACATTTTTTGCTCAAAAGTAAGATGTGCTGATAGAATATTCTCTCAAGTTTAAATGGGAAGATTTCAACTTGTTTTAGTAGCTTATTATCATGTCAGATGTTCATACTGACAATGGACAGATATTAAGTGGTTTGAGGAAGGTTTTCTTTTTTTTTATAATACTCAGTGGCTTTGGAAACTCAATCATGTAAAACACGTCCATTAAGATCCTATTGACATTTTGAGGGCTAGAAAGTAAGGAACCAATTATGATGAATGAGTTTATCAATCTAATATTTGATAACATAAACATTGAAGTAGTGGTATAAAAAACAGTTGAAAAATGAGCCAGGAGAAGAGACCTTGTAAAATTGGTTCCACACAATAAAACCCTAAGGTACATGTGATTTATAGCCTAGGATAATAAAAAAGCAATCATTTAGAAGCCCCCAAGTGTTTTCAAAAACAACGTAAAGAGAACAAGTTCACCGGCATATGCAACATGTAATTTTATTTAACAACAGTAAATTTTGTTGTACTCATAGCTGTGTTAACTGACATTGTTGTTAGTTGAAATAAAAATATCAGATGTGATCTACCTTAATGCAAGAGTATCAGATATACCCTAGGCTGGCATTGGGTGTGTGTATAGTTTGTA